AGGTGTACAAGTGTTACAAATGACTTGATCTTTTAGAAGCATTGAGTTGAACTCTTGCCAGTTCACAACGGCATAATAATTCATCTGAGGCCAAACAAATCTCTTGAACATATTCATGCAACCCTCCCTGTCTTTGTGTTCAGTATCCACTGTGTATAAAATGTAAAAACCTATTTATTTCTCTCCACCATAAATCTCAATGTTGATCCCTGGGGAACACCACGAGCAATATTGTTGAGTTCTTGCCAGTTCGACAGGTATAATGTTTTAAATTGGGCCTTGGTCAAAGTGCAGGGGACCCTCTTTGAGCCATTACGGTGCAGCTCTTCATCAGAAAATACACAAACCCCACTTTACAAATGGACTTTACTCACTCAACAACCTGGTTCTATCAAGCTTTATGGTCAGTGCTTCCCAGTGGCTGATTTAATGTCGCTGTGGATATTTTCTAATCTGTTCAGAGATGTTATTAACAACCTCTGGAGAGGGAGGAACTTGAACCTAAGCCTCCTGGCTCAGAGATATGGACAGTACCACTGTTCCACAAGACCCCCTCTTAAAGTGGTTCTATCAATCATAGTTTGTTATGGATTTACAAATCACAGTTTGTTCACATTCCTATGTAACAAAAGATTGACATTTTCCAGCTTATTCAGCATAATATCAATTCAGTCTTGTTCCCGATGACACAGTTCAGGACTACAATGAGTCATAGAATCATAAGGTACAGAATCCATACAGGCCGTTTGGCCCATCAAATCCGTACTACCCAAGCTACACTAAATCTACACTAGTCTCACTTTCCTACACTAGGTCCATAGCCTTGAATGTTAGTGCTTGCCTGTTAAGATGTGGAGGTGCCAGTGTTGGACTGGTGTAGATAAAGTCAGAAGTACACGACACCAGGTTATAGTCCAACAGGTTTATTTGAAACCACAAGCTTTCGTAGTGCTGCTCCTTTGTCACCTGACCAGTTATGATGTCCTTATGGATTGTAAATTACTAGAATACATAAGGTTTGACTTGTGATTTAATATTAAACCATCACCAACAGCATGTTTTTGAATAAAGGGGGTTTTAGTACTCCAGAGATTATAACGAGATCCCTGCATATTGCAGTACGGCTCAAGAAGGAAGAGAAGACCAGACAAGAACTGGAGAAGCTGAAGAGGAAACTAGAGGGAGAGGGTGCGGATCTCCACGACCAGCTAGCAGAACTCCAACAGCAAATCGCTGAACTGAAGATGCAACTTGCCAAGAAAGAGGAAGAGTTACAGGCAGCTATGAGCAGGTAGTTAGAGGATGAACCAATTCAGCCTCCTGAATGGGTCTATTTGTTTTAGTGTTAAGAATTTTAGTTCTTTTGCAGAAGACAATATCATCAAACGATAACTTTCTTTCTCACCATTACGTTCATTATTTCAGCTTTTATTCCACAACTAGAATTGTATTCTGACCAGGGAGCAATATTAAGCAGTGATTGTATGACATAAAACATATGGCTTTTATTCTGTTTATGATACAATAATTATTATTTAAGATAAAGTGAGTTATTTGACTAGAAATTTATAGTAACACTTGACAACAGGTACGCTCAACTCAAGAGTTAAAAAAACTAAATTAATGAACAGCTAAAATCGTCAATCCATAGAAACCATTGAAAAGCTATAGCAGAGGAGTCCGTTCAGCCCATTATATCGGTGCCATCTGAATAAAGTAGCCACCTATTCTCATTTCCTTTCCCAGCACCCAGTCCACAGCCTTACAGGTTACACTGCTTCAGATATAGTCATATCGTGGTAAAGTTTAAAAACAAAAACAGAAATTGCTGGAAAAGCTCAGCAAGTCTGGCGGCATCTGTGAAGAGAAATGTTAACGTTTCAGGTCCAATTATCCTTCCTGAGGAAAGGTCACTTGACCCGAAACCTTAACTCTGATTTCTCTTCACAGCCGCTGCCAGACCTGCTGAGCTTTTCTAGCAACTTTTGTTTCTGTTTCTGATTTACAGCATCCGCAGTTCTTTTGGTTTTAGTAGTAAAGTTTGCTGGTTACATTAACCTAATCTCCATTTGCTGGCTTAAGGTTCTTGTTAACTGACTATTTTGAGTAATATTGAGCTATTGTGTGGGATTATTTGCAAGAGAATATGATGTGGTAAAGGCTGGTGAAATTAGAAGTGTTGATAGAAATTGAAGCTATTTGGCTGTTATTTATTACTAATCCTGTTTCCCTCCTGAGTACCTTTCATATTTTCCTCTTGAGGTGTCTAATTCCTTCTAAAAAAAATCATGATTAACTTGATGTCAGAACCACCTGACAGTACACCCAAAATTTGCATGAAAAAATGTCATCTGTATTTATCAATTTTGTTACTTGTAAATGAGAATAATTTTTGAATGCTCCCAAACTCCATCATAAACTTACACATTTCTGGTAAATCTTCTAGAGACACCTTTGCCTAAGAGTTTACAGCTTTTATTTTCCAAGTCTTGTGATGTAACTATACCGTCTTGAAACAATAAAGGCAAAATACTGCAGATGCTGGAAATCTGACACAAACACAGAGAATGCTGGAGAAATGCAGCAAGTCAGGTAGCATAGAGTCATAGCGTCATTCAGCACAGAAACAGACGCTTCGGTCCAACCAGTCCTATGCCATCCGTAATCATAAACTAAATTAGTCCCACTGCCTGCTTTTGGTTATTATCCTTCTAAACCTTTCCAATTCGTGTACCTATCTAAATGCCTTTTAAACATTGTAACTGTACCTGCACCTACCACTTCTTCATGAGGTTCATTCCACACACAAACCACTCTCTGAGTAAAATAATTGCCCCATATGTCTTTTTTAAATCTTTCTCCTCTCACCTTAAAAATATGTCCCCTAGTCTTGAAATCCCCAATCCTAGTGAAGAGACACCCGCCATTCACATTGTCTATACCCCTCATGATTTTATAAACCTCTATAAGGTCATCTATCAACCTCCTATGCTCCAGTGAAAAAAGTCCCAACCTATCCAGCCTCTCCTTATAAATCAAACCCTCCATTTCCAGCAACATCCTGGTAAATCTCTTCTGGACTCTCTCCAACTTAATAATATCCTTCCTATAACAGAAAGACCAGAACTAGACACAGAATAAGAGGAGAGAGAAGCAAGGCTAATGTTTCGAGTCTGCTATGACTCTGCTTCTATGCTCAGCCCTGCCAGAAGGCTAGTGGATCTTTTCAATATCCTTGGTACCAACAGGGCCAAAACAACACACAGTAATTAATCTGCAGCCAAATGAATCTCTTGGACATATTCACGTGACCCTTCTTGTTTCTGTGTTCAGCATCCACTGTGTATAAAATTTAAAACCCTATTTATCTTTCTCCACTGAATATCTCAATGTTGAACCGTGAGGAACCCACCTCAATGTGAAACTATAATAACTAATTAGAGTATTCCTGATTAAAAAGACACATCTTGTTGAAGCCTCCTACCTTGCACTTATCAGGACAATCAGCAAGAATACCAAAGTACAGGGGAAAGCAATGTTTTTAGGCTATTTGAGAGGATAGTGCTGATTGGTTGGCCCTCTCTTCTCATACAGTACAAATGTTGTTTCCCCTTTATTTAGTATTCTTGCAAATTTTCCTGATAAATGTAAGATGAAAAGCTTCAACCAAATCTACACTAGCCAAATGCTGTGTTAATTTGCTCTTCCATCCACTCTCTGCTTGTACCTGCAGCTCATTTTTATTCTTCATGCCGTAGGGCTTGACTTAACCTTTCCAGCAAGTCATTTAGGTGGCACTTTATCAGATGGCTTTTGGAAATTCATACATTGTAGATCCACAACACTTAGTTTATTTATAAGCTGTAATTAATTATTTAAATTATGAAGTGAATATTATTGGCCTCAGTGCCAGGCTGATGATATAGTGCATGTGGCCTTGGTCTGCTGATCAAGATTAACCTGAGGGTGAGTTCAGCCTTTGGCTGCATAGAGAGCTTGAGCTGAGGACTTCAGTACACCACTGGCAGGTCCACGAGCTGACTGCATTAATCTACACTTCTTCATTAATTGTACCAGTGTGGAACTGAGCATCAAAGTGTAGAGGGGTTCCTCAGCTTCTCTCCTGGGTGTAGGTAAGTGTTGGTTTGCACTTAGCAGCTGAATGAATGAATGGAAGAGCCGCAGAGTTTATACAGGTCCCCTCAGTCATGCTGGCCAAATCGGGATGTGGATTCCAGGCAAGTGTAGATAATTCTTGGCAGTGCAAGATCAATCTGTTTAGGGATATTCATAGAATCAAATAGATCCAACAAATCCGCACCGACCCTCAGAGCATCCCACCCTAATCTACTGAACACTGTAGGCAATCTAGCATACCAACCCACCTAACCTGCACATCTTTGGATTGAGAGAGGAAACCAGAGCACCCACAGGGACCCACACAGACACAGGGAGAATGTGCAAACTCCACACAGACAGTCACCCGAGGGTGGAATCGAACCTGGGTCCCTGGCACTGTGAGGCAGCAGTGCTAACCACTGAGCCACTGTGCTGACCATATTATAGCACATCTACGGAGCAGATGGAACTTGAGCACAGATGTCCTGACCCAGAGGTAGGGGCACTACTACTGTGCCACAAGAGCCCTAATTCCTAGCAGTGCAAGTACAAACCTTGCTGGTCACTAAACGCAGCCTTTGCATCACTCCGGTCATTGTGAAAATATATAAGCTTCAAAGCATCTTTCCAGAGTCCATTATCTTGTCAGATAAATGATTGATACGGCTTAAATGAATTGCTTTCATGTAGACTCGATGAGGAAATCGCACTAAAGAATAACGCTCTGAAGAAAATCCGAGAGTTGGAAGCCTTTATTTCGGATCTTCAAGAAGATCTGGACTCAGAGAAGTCAGCTCGGAACAAAGTAGAGAAACAAAAAAGGGATTTGGGCGAAGAGTTGGAAGCCCTGAAGACAGAGCTTGAAGATACTTTGGACAGCACTGCTACACAACAAGAGTTAAGGTATTGCAAATTTTATTTATAAATGAAATACAAAAAATTAATAAATGTAAACTTTTATCAAGCTAACAGAATGATGAGTTGAATTTCAGTTAATGGCAAAGTGTTCCACATAATGATCTTTAAACCTTAAAACCTGTAAACACTTAGACTTAGCAAAGATTTTATAAGTTTCATGGAAGAATAAGGTTGTGATAGAAGCCATTGCTACATGATGTAGGGCAGCACAGAGGTCAGGCCTGTTTGCATCACAAAAGCAATGTAATCTTATGAGGTTCCTAAGAACTTGTACTGAAGAATCTGTACCTAGATACCTTGTACCTAACTGTAAGTGGTGGCTTGTAAATTTTTCACTGTACTACATTCATTTGAGTACATGTGACAATAAAGGGGAGGCAATGGCCTAATGTTATTATCCATTACCTAGTGGTATTATCGCTGGACTGTTATTCCAGAGACCCAGGTAATGTTCTGGGGACCCAGGTTCAAATCCTGCCATGGTAGATGGTGGAATTTGAATTTGATAAATATCTGGAATTAGGAATCTAATGATGACCATGAATTCATTGTCAATTGTTGGGAAAAACCCATCTGGTTCACTAATGCCCTTTAGGGCAGGAAACTGTCATCCTTACCTGGTCTGGTCTTCATGTGACTCCAGACCCACAGCAATGTGGTTGACTCTGAACTGCCCTCTGAGCAATTAGGGATGGGCAATAAATACTGCCTGGTCAGCGATGCCCTCATCCTGTGAATGAATTAAAAAAAAGGTAATTCATTCTTTCAGAATCACATGTTTGGGTAAAATAGATTCTTTCTTATTTCTTCTGGGCAGAGCCAAGAGAGAACATGAGGTTTCCGAGATGAAACGTGCTCTAGAAGAAGAGTCAAGATCACATGAGGCTCAAATTCATGAAATGCGACAGAAACATAGTCAAGCGATAGAAGAAGTAACAGAGCAACTGGAACAAGCAAAACGGGTAATCAAGGAATGAATGGCAGAAAAGCAGCCCCACTGAGCTTTGACACAGTACAATCTGGGGGAAGATGGTGGCATGGCTGTAATGTTAATGGAATAGTAATTGAGAGGCCCAGGCAATGGGCCAAAGGCTCTTAACCGTCCTCTGGACAACTGAGGATGAGTAATAAATACTGGTTCAGCCACCAACACCCACATCCCTGGAATGAAGTTTTTAAAAATGTGGATTTGAACCTCACCTTGACGGCTGGTGGAGATTAAATTTAATTAATTTGGAGAAAAAAAATCTCAGATTGAAAGCTAGGCTAAGTAATGTGAAACTATCATCAATTAGCATAAGAACACATCTGATTCACTAATGTCCTTTTAGGAAGGGAAATCTGCCGTCCTTACCTGTGATCCCAGACCCACAGCAATGCAATGCCCTGCCCTATGCAGGGCACTCAGTTCAAGGGCACTTAGGAGGGGCAGTAAATGCTATATTTGCCCTCATTCATGTACAAATATATGTGCATAAACTTTGGAAACCAACTTCTAATAGTCCATAAACTATTATGTTTAATAGTTCCTTCAATGTCATTGATAAAGACAAGGCAGAGTATTATAGAATCATAGAACAGTGTGGAAGCAGGCCATTCAGCCCATCAAGTCACTCTTACCCTATGAAACGCACCCCAACCAGACCCATCCCATCCCTGCATTTCCCATGGTTAATCCACCTAGCCTGCACAACCCTGGGGGATTTAGCATGGCCAATCCACCTAGCCTGCACAACCCTGGGCGATTTAGCACAGCCAATCCACCTCGCCTGCACAACCCTGGGGGATTTAGCATGGCCAATCCACCTAGCCTGCTCATCTTTGGACTGTGGGAGGAAACCAAAGTACCCGGAGGAAACCAAAGTACCCGGAGGAAACCCACGCAGACACGGGGAGAATGTGCAAACTCCACACAGACTGTCACCTGAGGGTGGGATCAAACCCGGGTCCCTGGCGCTGTGAGGCAGCAATGCTAACCACTGAACCAGCCTATCACTTTACTATGATCTATTAGGAAAAGAAGCGAAAATGAGAGTGGTTTTAAATTTCAAGAGTCCTTGTTGAATAAACTTAACTAAACATGCTTTACCTTTTACAGGCGAGGGCGAACCTTGAGAAAAACAAGCAGACTCTGGAAAAGGAGAACAATGAGCTTTCAAATGAGGTGCGGTCTCTGTCCACAGCAAAAGCAGAAATTGAGCACAAGAAGAAGAAGCTGGAGGGCCAAGTGCAGGAGTTCCAGGTGAAGGTGGCAGATGGAGAACGTGCTCGGGCTGAACTCAATGAGAAAGTGCACAAGCTACAGGTTAGTGTCAGCTTCCTTACTTCGGCTGGAAGCACATGTCCACTTCTACAATTATTGCTGATGTTAAATGGAATATTTTCCTGTAATGCAGTACAGGAGGTAGTGGTGTAATGGTCATGTTGCTAGCCTAGAATCCAGAATCTCAGGTTGATGCTCTGGGAGCATGGCTTCAAATCCCACCATGTCAGATGGTGATATTTGAAGTCATTTAAAAAGCTAGCTGATTCACAACCATCTCAACATTGTTTTAAAAATTAACTCCTAGGACATGGCCACCAGTGGATGGACCAGCATTTCTTGCCCGTCCCTAGCTGCCCCTTGAGAAGGTGGGAGTGAGCTGCCTTCTTGAACCGCTGCAGTCCATGTGCTGTGGTTAGCCCCACAATACCCTTAGAGGGGCAATTCCAGGGTTTTGACCCAGCAACACTGAAGGAATGGTGATAAATTTCCAAGTCAGAGATGGTGAGTGGTTAGGACCGCTAGCAATGTGGTTGACTCCTAACTGCCCTCTGATCAATTCAGGATAGACAATAAATACCAGCCTAACCAGTAATGCCCACATCCCAGGAACAAATAGAATAACCGTGTCCAATCACCTGACCTAGCATTCTGTACCTGGAAGAATTCTTCTGCCTCATTGGGCACCTGGAGAACAATACGAGTTGTAACTTATTGGCAGTGCGACTCAGAAAGGAATCACGTTTCCACAAACAGCACAAGAGGACAACCTTTGGCCATCATTCACTCCCCAACATCCTCTGCCAGCTGTCACATGTGTTGAATGGATACCTGAGCCACCAGTTTCAAAGAAACGGTGCCAGGCAAGAATCAATTCCTTTTGTGAAATGTGGAAATAAAATCAGAACAAAACTTAAAAATAACTAACACAATTAATGATCTTCTTTGACTTTATTTGTTTCCTATAGAATGAGCTTGACAATGTTACCACCATCCTAAATGACGCTGAGGGCAAGTCAATTAAACTTGCAAAGGATGTGTCCAGTCTTGGTTCCCAACTTCAGGATGCACAGGTGGGTGTGTTTCTTACAATCGACAATTCATTAGAAGGTTACAAAAAAACTGATAGATGATTATTTAAAGAAATATAGGTCAGTTATATGTTTCCATCCTCGTGCAATTGAAAATATTACAGAGAGAATGTTTATTGTTGCATAAGGGAGTGGATATGAAAGGGTTAAATTGGACTGAGCTGATACACACACACGCGCACACACTCACTCACTCACACTCTCTCTCTCTCTCTCACACACACACTCTCTCTCTCTCTCTCACACACACGCACACACTCTCTCTCACACACACATACGTTTACACGCACACACACTCTCTCACACACACACACTCACACATGCACACTCACACACACACACGCACACACTCTCACACACGCTCACACACACGCACACACATACACACCCTCTCACACATACACACCCTCTCACACACGCACACACACTCTCGCGCGCACACACACACTCTCGCGCACACACACACACACAAACACACAGTCTCTCTCTCATGCACACACACACTCTCTCACACACACTCACACACACACACACACACACACACACACACTCTCACACACTCACAGCCACAGGATTGGGTCTCAGCCTGTTTCAGGGAGTTCCTCACAGTTGTAGTTGGAGACAGTCATCTCCCCAACTCTGCGTGTTACCATCAGTAGATTATAACCTGTACAGGGTTCCTGTTTCTGCTTTGGGTACGTGAGTTTGCGTTCAGGACAGATTGTTCGAGGAAAAGACAAACACAAGAGCTGTCTTCAGGGTTAGGTTTCTTTCTAACACTGATTATGACATGGTAAGGCTAAATACTGCAATACAGGATATTCACAGATATGCTGGGCTCTAATCTTACTGTTACATTATCAACAGACTCTGCCTTAAACTCTAATGCTAATTGGTCTACTCCACATTTGTTTGCACATGTTTCTAACATTCACAAGGCTTGACTTCAGGCGTCTGCCTAGCACTCCATGTGTTCTCTTTAACTCCGCCCACATTGTACTGCTTATGCCCAGTGAGGAGCAGCTCTGTGACATCATTGCAGTGTTGCTCCAGGGTCCTAAAGCCATTACTAAGATGTAACAAACCATATCTTGTTACCCAAGATAACAGCCTCTTCTGCTGAGACCTGTTCAAGGTTCAACACTCACCACGTGCTACTGGAAACCCCTAAGCTGGTATAAAACGTAAGAATAATAGTGACACAACCCCCTCCAACCACGAGGGGTTGGTAACCAGGCCTTATCATCACTGTTACAACAATTATAACATCTTTTTTCTCACTATGTAAATACTTCAATCATTACAATAATTTGACTGTTTTAATTCAAAGTTTTAAGATCAAAAGAAAGTTTCTTCTGAAAGTTTTTGGATACTTACCGATTATGTGCAAATGATGTCTTTGCATGAAGATAGAATTGTTTTTATTCACAAGTCAGTTTACACTGACAATTTATCATAAAACAATTTACATTTTTGGTTTTTGTTTCTGCAGGAACTACTCCAGGAAGAGACACGTCAAAAATTAAATTTGTCCACCCGACTGCGTCAGCTGGAGGATGACAAGAACAACCTCCAGGAGCAGTTGGATGAAGAGAGCGAGGCCAAGAGGAATCTGGAGCGTCAGATATCCACTTTGACTGCTCAGGTAAATGGAGCTACTAACAGAGCCCGGTTTATATCACTTTCCAACCCAGACAATTCTGTACATAGTCCAAAATCTGAATTACACAATTGCAGAACACTATTTTGTTTCTTTGTAGACTCCTGGACTCAAATAATTATGTCTTTGATTGCTTTGGTTAAAATTATACGTTTAATCGATACAATAATGCAATAGTACTTTCAGTATATGCCCCAAAATGGGTGATATTACTCTTCGAGATCAAATTGACCCATTCCGTAGCTTTTTAGTGTGTGCCAATGGTAGTGTAGTGGTGATGCCAATGGTAGTGTAGTGGTGATGTCACTGGGCCGGTAATCCAGACACATCGGGGGGATTGGGTTCAAATCCCATCACAGTTGGTGGCGGAATTTAAATTAATAAAAATCAGGAATAAAATGTCAGCAGCTGTTGTAAAAAACCCATCTGGCTCACTCAATGCCCTTTACGAAAGGGAAATCTTCACGTGACTCCAGACCTGTAGGAGTAGGCCATTTGGCCCTTCCAGCCTGTTCTGCCATTCAGTATGATCATGGCTGATCATCCACCTCAATCCCCTGTTTCTGCTTTCACCCCATGCCCGTTGATCCCTTTAGCACTAAGAACTATACCTAACTCCTCCTTGAAAAATTAAGTTGACTCTTAGCTGCCCTCTGAAACGGTTGAACAGCCATTCAATTCTAGGGGCAATTACAAATGGGCAATAAACCCTGGCCTTACCAGTGACACTCAGATGCCATGAAAGAATAAAGAAAAAATGTTCAGTCCAAAGACAACACTTGCTGAAGCAGGTTAACTGTCAAGTTGCTGTGAGTGAGATCTTCCTGTGCATAAAACGGCAACCACTTACTGGCAACAGTTGATCTTCAGAAATGATTCATTGGTACAGAATCACTTTGGAATTTGCCAAGTATCTAAGCAAGTGTTTTGTCAAAGCCATTGCGTAGCTTATTGCTTCAATGTTGATTTCCTCAACACAGCTGTCAGATGCCAAGAAGAAGTTGAACGATGATGTGTCCGCACTGGAGGGACTTGAAGAAGGGAAGAAGAAACTTCAGAGGGAAATTGAAGCAATTACCCAGAACTTTGAGGAAAAAGCAGCAGCATATGACAAACTGGAGAAGACCAAGAACAGACTGCAGCAGGAACTGGACGACCTCTTGGTGGACTTGGACAATCAGCGGCAACTCGTTTCAAATTTAGAGAAGAAGCAGAAGAAATTTGATCAGGTCAGAGATTTCTGCAAAACAATCTGTTTTTCTTTGCCACCTTCGAGATAAGGAGAAATTTTGTTTTAATTTGATGAGCATTTGCAATGTGCCAGCCTTGTGGAATGAAACAACATCAAAATATAAATCCAATGAGGCTGGTTAGCCAAGCAAACTGCCTTTTGATTGTAATAATTGCTAAATGCCTATAACCCACCATTGATCTTTGTCTGCATTAAGTTTTTATTAAATCTCAGAATTATGGCAGTATAGAAGGAGACCATTTGGCCCATCGTGACTGCACTGGTTCTATCCCCAAAGCCAATCTCCTGCCTTTCCCTCCATATCCCTGCACCTCATTTCTATCCAAATAATCATCCGATGCCTCTCTCAAATGTCTCAATTGAACCTGCCTCCACCATATTTCCAGACATTCCAGATCCTAATTATTCACTGGGTGAAAACGTTTTTTATCTCACATCATCCTTACCTTGTTTGTACATCACTTTAAATCTATACCCTCTCGCTCTTGTTTCTTTTACGAGCTACTCCCTATCCATTCTGTCCAGCCCCACCCATGGTTTTGGAACCTTCGATCAAATCTCCTCCCAGCCTTCTCCCAGCCTCCAAGGAGAACAGTCCCAACATCTCCAACCTCACCTCATCATTGAAGTTTCTCATTGCTGCAACCATTCTTGTAAATCACTTCTGCTCTCTCTCCAATGTATTCACATCTTTCCTATCATATGGTGCCCACAACTGCTCACAATGAGATTAAAATTCATGGTGCTTTATATAAAATACTGCAACATCAAAGCTGTTGGATAACTGTAAGGTTGATAAGGTAGGATTTTCATCAATAGAGATAACACCGTGTGGAGCTGCAGGAACACAGCAGGCCAGGCAGCATCAGAGGAACAGGGAAGTTGATGTTTTGGGTTGGGAGCCTTCTTCAGAAAATTTTCTTCAGAAGATTTCTGAAGAAGGGCCCGACCCGAAACATCAGCTTCCCTGCTCCTCTGGTGCTGCCTGGCCTGCTGTGTTCCTCCAGCTCCACACTGTGTTATCTCAGACTCCAGCATCTGTAGTTCTTACTATCTCGGAGGATTTTCATCAGGCCCAGTTAAAACGTTGTGCTATCTCCATTCTATCAGATGCTGGCAGAAGAGAAGAATATCTCCGCTAAGTATGCAGACGAAAGGGACAGGGCAGAGGCTGATGCTCGGGAAAAGGAGACAAAGGCCCTGGCTTTGACACGAGCCTTGGATGAGGCTTTGCAATCTAAAGAGGACCTGGAAAGAGTCAACAAGCAGCTGCGAGCAGAGATGGAAGATATCATGAGCTCAAAGGATGATGTCGGAAAGAATGTAAGTAGACACACAAAAGTGCAACATGGAATTCAGTATGGGCTGAGGACAATGGGGAAGAGGGAGGACATCAAAATAGAGACACTTTCTAACAAGCTAACCATTTAGAAAATGTTGAGATGTTTGGAATATTGGTCTATTGCTGATTCCATTGCTCAAATAAACTTTGGCTTCTGTCTCACTGGCAGGTAATAACCAAATGGATGTTTGATGTTTGGAAACAGTTTTGATCCAGCACCTAAAAATTCAGTCCCTATGTTGACAGATATTGCTTACTCCTGCCCTAATTGTATTTGGCCATGCTCAGAGGAGCTCAGATGGACAGATTGGCTGCTCTGGTCCCAGCCTGACCTTGACCGTCACCGTCACAGGTCCTCCTGCCCCAAACCTCTCCATGGCAACAGGAGAGTTAGGAGTGATGGAAAAGACTGGGATTTCCATCCAAAATAAATCTTACAAAGGCACGCAAACATTTTCCCTATATCTGAGTGCATCATGGGGTTTAAAGAAAGGGTTAGCAGAGAAGAGGTGTGTGAGAGATTGTGATGTTAAATATTTCAGAGCACAGAGCTGTGTTTATTTCCTAGAAACTATATGAAAGACAGAATGAGTCATTCAGAGTATTACTTTTTTTTTTGTCTTCACACTGTTCATTTAATGAATTATTTGCTGCATATTGTGCCTGTGAATTGAAGGTCCACGACCTGGAGAAATCAAAGCGTGCTTTGGATCAGCAAGTGGAGGAGATGAAGACCCAGCTGGAAGAACTTGAAGACGAGCTCCAGGCGACAGAGGATGCCAAGCTACGGCTAGAAGTGAACCTCCAGGCCCTGAAAACACAGTTTGAACGTGAACTGCAGGCCCGGGATGAACAAAATGAGGAAAAGAGGAGGCAGCTTGTTAAACAGGTACAATAATCAGCTCCGAAGTAAGGCCACAGCCTTAGAGTAAAGGGAAGACCGTTTAGAACGGAGATAAGGAGAAACTTCTTCAGCAAGATAGTGGTGAATCTATGGAATTCACTGCCACAGAAGGCTGTAGAGGCCAGGTCATTGAGTACATTTAAGACTGAGATAGATAGGTTCTTGATTATCAAGGGGATTAAAGGTTACGGGGAGAAAGCAGGAAAATGGGGTTGAGAAACTTATCAGCCATGATTGAATGGCGGAGCAGATTCGATGGGCTGAATGGCCTAATTTCTGCTCCTATGTCTTATGGTCTTATGGTCACTCGACCCAAAACATTAACTCTGCTTCTCTCTGCACAGATGCTGCCAGACGTGCAGTGTTTATTCAATAATTTCTATTTTTTGTTTCACAATAACTGACCTACATCGATTTCATAAGAACCACACGTTCAACACTCATATTTAATTCCATTCTGATAATACAGATTGTCGTATCAGGCACCACTATAGTCAATCGAGTCAGGGAAATAAACTCCAATAGGCTTACTGCAGCCACTGTTCTTCGATGTTAAAACAGTATCCGATTATTTCAGGGACACTGCTTACAACACAAACCATCACTGTACAAAATGCTGAGAGTCTTAGCAGCTATTTTAAGATAAGATGAAATAAAACTCATGTGCAGCACCGGTGCTGAGATCGGGAGAGCAGATATTAGAAAACATTTGATCTGGTGGCAAAGTGAGAAAGAAACGAGCGAAATGAAAGAGAGATAAAGGGAAAAGAAGATGCAGAAGAGGAAACCAGAAGCAATGGCTGTATAAAGGGGCAGGAGGGTTAAGGAGGAAAGAGCCCACCATCACCATGACCTTTCCTGAATAAAATCAGAATGAGAAGGGGCAAGGACAACCTTCCTGTCCAGTTGAGGCGCACGAGTGACCAGCTGAGAGACATCAGTGACCAATTAAGACCCATGAATGACCGGTTGAGGGTCTCATTTCACCATTGTTTATATTTAACCAGCCGTGGAGCTGCATCATGTTTGTAAACTGCCCGGTAGGAGAGGGGTCACCCTGTCTGGGGCAATCTGCTGATTGTGAGGGTTCGGGGGCTGGGGTAAGAGCTACCCCCAACTCCCACCACCGCCACCTTTTACGATGACCCTCCCCCACCCCACTATGCTGGGATGATGGGTGGGGGCCAGCAATCTCCTTGATTGAGGATGAAATGATTTCTGGACCCTGTCTGGACCCAGTGCTCGCACCCCCGACACACCCATGTCGATCTTCATCCTTTATCTCACACACACCCCCAATGCCCTGCAGTACTGGCACTGGCCATTGCTCCTAATGGCGCTGTTGGCACAGGACAGCTGCTGACTTCTGAATGGCCAGCCACTGCACCAGGAAACATGGTGAATCCTGAAAATCCCAGGATCAGCCCCGGATAGGGATTAAATCCCAACAGAACTCCCAGAAATGTTGGTGGTTACCTCCTACAGTCCAGCTACTGAACAGGCTGCAATACAACCATTACATTCCACCCAGTGTTAGTGCTAGCTATAGCCCTGCATTATAATGTAATTGTTCAAAATGTAATCCAAATTATCCAGAGTAAGTTTCTGGAAACTGATATTGCAACTTGATTTGTGTATTGTTAGCTGTCTGATATCTCTCAACCGGTAATAAGACACCAAAATTTGTTTACAGCCCATTTCTTTGCTAATAGAGTCTCTGAAATTAATATGAATCCTGACATAGAACTCATAAAAACAATTCAGATGTTGACTCAAACAAAATCTCTCCTTCGTTTTGCAGAATAAAATGTATTAACTCTTGAGAGAGTAAATAAATTACAAAATTAACAGAATTGTTATGGTACAGAAAGAGGCCATTCAGCCCATCATGTCTAAACCAGCTTGTTCAATGAGCACCATAACCAGATTTCCAATTGTGAAATTCACCTATTTGTCCTATTTCAACTGATTTGTATTTCTTTCTTTGTTGTGTCACACACCCTTCACTGACAGAGAAAGCAAACAAGTGACTCAGTCGAAGATCTCTACTTGGACTGAACTTAATCAGTTTCTAGGTCATGTTTGAGTTCATACTGAATTCACAAAGGTGTCATTCTAAATTTAATCCAAACGCCACTCTTCATAGGACCCTCTGTTAGCACACCTGAGATAGAGTCATAGAGTCATACAGAACAGAAACAGACCCTTTGGTCCAACCAGTTCATGCTGACCATAATCCCAAACTAAACTAGTCCCACCTGCCTGCACTTGGCTGATATCCTTCCAAACCTTTCCTACTCAGGTACTTATCCAAATGCCTTAAACATTCTAACTGTACCGCATTCACCACTTCCTCTGAAAGTTCATTCCTCTGTGTAAAAAAAAAATGCCCCTCATGTCTTTTTAGAATGTTTTTCCTGTCACCTTACAAATATGTCCCCTAGTCTTGAGAGACCCCACCCTAGACAAAAGACACCTACAATTTACCTTATGTGTACCCCTCATAGTTTTATGAACCTCAATATAAACTTGATTTGATATCGCAGGCAAAAGCATGAAACTTTTTGATATGATGCAAAGTAATTTGTCTCCTATCTTTGTCTGTGCATGATATTGACTAGGCTGATCAATCACCTTCAAAACTAAGAATAGATAACGTACCAAGCTGAGGTACGTCCATTCAATACAACACAGCATAATTTAACTGTCTTCATTCTTCATGTCAATTTGTTTAAAACGGGGAAAACGTTCAAAGAAAACTGGAATCAATTTCTCAGTATGAAACCGAGTGAAATAGTGCAATCAAACTCAAGGCAGTATTGTTCAGAACTACAGGAAAGGAACAGAGTAATGGTATTGAACCACTTCTATACTGACCCAGCGCTAATGTCATTGGATTAGTCAGCCAGATACCCCACTGATGCTCTAGGAACACAATGGAATTTGAATTATTAAAAGCCCTTGTGCACAGGCTGCTGTGGCACAGTGGTAGTGTCCTACCTCTGAGCCAGGAGGCCTGGGGTCATGTTCTACCTGCTCCAAAGGTGTGACGTATTATCTCTGTAATAGGTTGAATTAAAAATAAATACAACTAGTCAAAAAAATCCTGCATGTACCGCTAAAATCCTGGCCCCAGTGTGTCAATAGTGACTAAAAGCCCTTCTGGCTCACTAATGCCATTTGGCAGGGGTGAAATCTTCTGACCTTCATGTGACTCCAGACCCACTGTAATGTGGTGACTCTCAGTTGCCCTCTGAAATGACCTAAAGGGCAATTATTGATGGGCAATAAATGCTGGCCTTGCCAGTGACTTTGACAGCCTGTGAAAAAATACAAGTGGTTCAGTGGTTAGCACAGCTGCCTCACAGCGCCAGGGACCCGGGTTCAATTCCACTTTCGGGCAACTATCTGCACGGAGTTTGTGCATTCTTCCTGTGTCTGTGTGGGTTTGCTCCAGTTTCCTCCCACAGCCCAAAGATGTACAGGTTTGGTGGATTGGCCATGGGATATTTAATGTTAACGTTGGTCTCCCTCTACACCTTCTCAGCAGCTGTAAGACTGTATCCTGAACTCTGTTCTGTTACCCTGATGAACTCGTATAGTACAATCTGCCTGTAATGCGCATAAGGCAATACTTTTCACTGTACCTTAGTACACGTTTCAGTAATAAATCAAATCAAAGTTGCTCCGTAGTGTCCAGGGATGTGCAGGCTGGGTGGATTAGGCATGGTAAATCCTGGTATTGGGTGGGATGTTCTTCAGAAGATCGGTGCAGACTCGATGGGCTGAATGGCTTCTTTCTGCATTGGGGGATTCTGTCATTTTACAAAGCGGCGTTAGGTGCACTTCTTGAACTCAACCACTTTTTTATAGATTGTAGGATTTTATAGATGTTATAGCTCTTACCTTTCCTGGTGTGCAGGTAAATGCACGTGACTAATGTGCCCTATTGTGTTGCAATGGTAGTGTCCCTACCCCTGGACCAGAAGGGCCATGTTCAAGTCCCACCTGCTCCAGAGGTGTATGATAACATTGACGAAGAGGTTGATTAGAAAAATAGGTTAAATTCTTTTTTAAATGACTACGATCGGAGGGTTAGCATAACAAATCTCTGAAGGTAGCCTGCGATGAGAAATGTTGACATCACCACGTTGAATTTTGTTTACTCGAAGGTTCATGAGCTTGAGAGTGAACTGGAAGATGAGCGTAAACAGCGTACGGTAGCAGCGGCGGCGAAGAAGAAGCTGGAGATTGATCTAAGTGACCTCGAAGGCCAAGTTGAAGTGGCCATTAAGGGCCGTGAAGACGCCATCAAACAACTGAAAAAACTTCAGGTAGGTGCAGTCTATCGGTGAGAAACGGAACAGAATAATTAAAACCAAAACATAAGCAGAGAAATCCTTGCCAATCAAAATGTGTAATCACAAGCCCCGTGATTAAACACTGAAGAAAATATTCAGATATTATTCAAATCCTAGAGAAGAATTGTCTATGTTTGTCTGTTTGAAGGGAGCTGATTGTTTTGTGAAGGGTCAGATCGAAATAAATGGGTCAGGATTCATTCATGAATTTCTACTTCGCCCAGGCTCAGATGAAGGATTATCAGCGTGAACTCGAAGATGCTCGGAATTCCCGGGAAGAGGTCCTGGCTCAGGCTAAAGAGAACGAGAAAAAAGCCAAGAACCTGGAGGCAGACCTATTGCAAGTCCAGGAGGTAACCATTGGGAAACAGTGAGCTGACATGGGGATTCACTCTTATTCATCACCAGTTTGAAAGGTGTTCTGTTCGCTGGGCCAGCTATATCCCAACATAAAGAGAAGCTATTATAGCATGTTAGGAGGACACCTGTGGTTATGTGGAGATGATGGTGAGGTGTACTGTGATGACAAATATCACAAAAGAGAAACATCAGAGATAGTAGGAACTGCAGATGCTGGAGAATCTGAGTTAACAAGGTCTAGGCCCAAAACGTCAGCTTTCCTGCTCCTCCGATGCTGCTTGGCCTGCTGTGTTCGTCCAGCTCTACACCTTGTTATCAAAGAGAAACATCACTTCCTTTTATCGAACTTAAGACACTGATCCAAATGGTCAAGATATAAGCTGGATATTACATGCTCCCAAGGGCTGTGTTTTGGGTGGGCGGACTGTGTGATTTGAGGGAGTTTGACTAGGCCATTACATTCCCCCTCAGCACTGAGGGTGGCCCCTTCTCCCAGGTAGGGGTGAATATTCCATATGGAGCTCATTTAGCGCCTACGCCCTTCCCCCTTCAGTATGCCATGGCTGTCATTGAGCTTCCAACATTGAAGCTCAGAAACCAGAAACAGGAGTAGGCCATCCAGCCCTTCGAGCTTACTCTGCCATTAAATATGACCGTGGCTGATTCTCCACCTCAACGCGATATTCCCATTTCCTCTCCATATCCCATAATGCGTTTAAAATCTTACATTGAATAAAGGGAGGAGATAAATCCAATGACTTGGCCTCCCGTGCCTCGTGTGGTGGCGAATTCCACAGGGTCGCTCCCCTCAGAATGAAGCAATGATTCCTCATCTCAGTCCAAATTGCTGTCGATATTTTTTAATGTTGTTCAGGGATGTTGTGACACACCTCAGGGGCAGGTGGGAAGAAAACACACGATTCCTGGTTCAGAGGTGAGTGAACCACTACTGCACCACAAGAGCCCCTCCTAAAGACCCTGCATCCTGAGACTGTGTGCCCTGGTACCAGACCCCCAAACCAGGGGAAGCATCCTCCCTGCATCTAGTCTGTTTGGCCCTCTACGAATTTTATACATTTCAAACAGATCTCCTCTAGTTATTCTAGACTCGAGTGGACACAGGTCCAGTCCTCTCTTCCTCCTGATAAAACAAATCTCTCCTCACAAAACAGTCCTACCATCACCGGCATCAGCCTAGTGAACCTCCTGCTGCACTCCCTCTACATCCTCGCTTAGGTAGGGAGACCAAAACTGTGTGTAATATTCCAGGTGTGGTCTCACCAAGGCCCTGTAGGAGGACGTTCCAACTTCTGAACATCAATGGTCTTGCAATGAAGGCCAAGATGCCATTTCCAACTGGCCAGATGGTTAGCTGCCAACTTCTCTTCCAGTGCTTGGGGATGAGGGTATTTCTCTTCAATTACTCTGTTCAGTTAAACCCACAACCCCCATTCTTTCCCCCGTTTAAAAAAAAAAGGCAATTTATAAACAGCATTCAGTAGATTTCAGAACATCATAAAGTTGTGCATAAATAAAAGCAAAATGCTGCAGATGCCAGAAATCTGAAACAAACGCTGAGCATGTTGGATAAACTCAACAACTTTGGCAGTATCTGTGGAGAGAGAAACAGAGATAATGATTTGAGTCTGATATGGCTTCTTTGGAGTTTGGAAGAAAATTCATGTCAGACTCAAAACGTTGACTCTGCTTTCTCTCCACAGATGCTGCCAGACCTGCTGAGTTTCACCAGCAATTTCTGCTTTTATGAAGCCATGAATGGCCCTGTTTTGTTGTTACTGATGTCCTCTGATGTATTATTAAAGCCAAAGAGAACCAGAAAAGACATTCTTAGCTTCATTGCTTTGGTTAGAACAGCATTTTTGGGTTCTTGTGAAATGTGGAATCCCTTTACAACGTCTCCAACGTTTGTTTAAATGCACTTTTCTCTCTCTCCTTCTTCGAAGGATTTGGCTGCTGCAGAACGTTCCCGCCGTCATGCTGAGCAGGAGAAGGAGGAACTTGCTGAGGAGTTGGCAGGGAATGTCTCTGGAAAGTATGTAACAGGAAGATCTTCACTCTTTTTCTTCTTGCTTAAAGTGATATTTTCTCATGACCCTGTTAACCTATCTGCCACCTTCAGGGATCTGTGGACAAGCATCCCAAGATCCCTCAGTTCCTCTGAGCTTCCAAGTGTTCATTGAGTACTCACTTGACTTGTTACTTCTTGCAAAGTGCATCATCTCACATTTATCAGGGCTCAATTCCATCCATCACTGATTTGCCAATAGTGATTGTAACAAGGTCAGCCAGGGTGGACCTCATAGAATATGAGCTCCCTGATTGGGCTGTTAATCTGGTCCAATCAGGGAGTCCTGGCTGACAGATAAGAACAGGAGTGTCAGAGGTTTTGCTCACTATGAGAGCTGGCTCTGAGGGAGCTGGATCCATGTCAAGGACTCTCCATGTGTAAATAAAGGGTCTCTTAGTGATGGGATACCAGCCTCTGTGGAACAAAAACAAAGTTGCTGAAAAAGCTCAGCAGGTCTGACAGCATCTGTGAAGGAGAAAACAGAGTTAACGTTTCGGGTCCGGTG